GCATCATCAGCGAGTATTGTCACTCTTACCACCACAAGTAAAGCCGATCCTTTGACCAATTGTCTGCTAAAAATCGTGGTATCTTTCCTTCCGCCCTGGGCTAATCACCAATCCTATATCCTCTTATCACGCCTTCACTATTACAATTTGTACTTTCTTATTTAAATGTGGTATGGTGTCTCCTTTTGAGGAGATGTCATGGCAACTCTTCAAATTCCACACTGGCTTTCTCGCCCCTCACCCCAGTTCCCCTTGTTCTGAGAATGTTGATCAGTCCTCCTTCCATAGGTCTTTTCAGAGTCTCCCTCTTTCCCCGTATGATCCGTCTGCTATCTTCCTGGTTTACGTATTTCAACCGACCCCTGCTACTCCATCTTTGCTACTCGAGGCGTTACTTCCCACACTCTGACTAACATGAGGCTAAAGCCCCTGAGTGATTCTTAATCACTTGTCTCTTTTGACAAGTTGTAGTGTGGTGCTAAGACTGGCAATTCTCACTGACGATGCCGGTGAAACGTCCGGGGATGTATTACGTCCACGGTCCGACTGGAAATTATCATGTATACAAAGAACTCCGGACTAGGTACGTTCTAAGTCTTCCTACCAATATGACCAAGTTGAGAAAACAAGATCAAACAACTCCTATACAAAGAAAGGAGACTGCGGCCACACGAAATGCCATACCATCTTGATCTTCATACCTTCGATTAAAATGTTGCACTTTAAAAGGATGTTTGAACCCAATTTAGTGTTTATATTAACTTTGTCTTACATTTATATTCTTCGTCTTTCCTTCCTTTAGTTACTCTTTACCTTCAGTTGATATAATGAGTCTTCACTCCTCCTCTCCTACGTCTAGCCCCCACTGATTCTCGATGCGCCACTTTGATTCAACTTGCACCTTCGCAACTTTTGTCTACTGGACGTCCTGTCTCATCTTTTCGGCCATCATCTTCCTTGTACGTTCCACCACCACCTGGCACTGTTTTCTGCCCTGTGTCTATATTCCCGAACCTTATACAGCCCTCCTCGTTGAAATCAAACTCAAATCCAGACCCAGCTTCGAGCTTATACCATCAACATCGTCATCAACAACAGCTGTCCATACTTTCCACAAATGAGCTACTTAGTGACTCTGTCGGACTAGCAAACATATTCGTTACCACAGCGACTGCGCCAACGGATCCCATGCCAGTCAGCGCCCCCATCGATATAATTACCGCCCCTCTTAACAAATCCGTCACCACTGTGGCCCCCGCTCCCCCTATTACTCTGACCTCCAGTGGCCCCAGCTTAGCTGGCCTCTCGACTACTGCCGCCGACGCATCCAACACTACTCTGATTGACTGCATATGCAATGACTGCCAAGCTACCGGAGCTTATTCTTGCTTACCCTTGCCACATTATCATCTGCATCATCACATGCATCACCATCTCTATCATCACATCTCTCTTTCTACTGGCCTGCCTGGTCGGCCAATGTCTCCTGTCCTGCAGCAAGCCTATCCTTACACCAACACCAACACTACTAATACCCCCACCATCACCACCATTTCCGTTTCTTCGTCGCCTTCTTCAGGACTGGAATCTGATGGAGTTAAGTACATCCCTGGATCTGGGGTGCTATTTCATCGCTCACGACAACCACCA